GGGGATACACGCCAGAGTTTTGTGGCAAATCCCAAACTAGCAGCAATACAATGATTTATAATGTTGGATCAGATTAAAGACATCTCTTCCATCTGCCCTCCAAATCTTTGCCCATTTTCCAGCAGACTTAGACAAGACCTTAGAAGCACAGTCCTTTTGTTGGAGTTCTACAGGTTCCAAAAGAGCCTAAATCAAAGTAATGTTCTCCTTGAGATGCGGAGAAGTACCTGCCCATGTGAAGAGTGGACTCCAAACACGAACATTCCTCGCCTTTCTTCTTTTTCAGAAACTCACCCTTAGGGTGGCTCCTGCAGCTTGAGGGATAGACTTTGGGGACTTGCTTTGCCTGTGGTCTCCTTACAGGGTCAAGGGATTCCCTTCCAATTCCTTCCCAGCTAGTTTTGAACTGCCTCTCTCCTTTCCCAAGGTGGGCTGGTTCTCATGCTCTGTCTGAGAATCTTTGCTAGATAACTCTGAAACTTCAAAGTCCTCTGCCCCTCTGCTGGCTTCTCAGAACCCGATGAATTTGTCTGAGCAGACTGTAGCAGGCAAGAGCAGACCTCCTCTCGGCACCCCATGAATTTTGCCTAGTCCATTTTTAACACAGGTTGCCAAGGTCTCACCCAACAAAGGTGGGCAGCTGCAATATCAGCAGGCAGTTTACTCAGATTGCTGTCTGAACTCTCCAGGAGCTGTTTATAATGCTGGGCCGATCTGGCTTTGCCATCATGGAAAGCTCCTTGAAAGTCCATAACGAAAACTCAGAGTGGATACAGTGTGCGCTGATGTTGGAGCCATCAGTGTTTCCGGAGTATAAACATGGGGTTCCACCATGGGACTACTGTCCAGCCAGTTTTCCCTGCCTGCTACCTGCCAGATCTGTTTGATAATATCTCTGGCTGGGGGTTGCTGAGGGTGGTCATCCAAGCCCACCTGGAGGGCACCAAGCTGCGGAGTCTGGTCTCGCCACTGAGCCTCACTGCCGCTCCCTCCACCCCACAGTCCTTTCCCTGCCCTTGCTAAAATGGGCAGCTCCACTTCTTCCCAAGAAATCTGTTGTGACATGGAGAGATTCTGTCCAACCATTAAGGGCCCTGGAGCTTGCAATCTCCTAAAAGTGAGCAGGAGTTTTCCTGTGAAATGGCACCTCCCATCCTGGAGCTTGTGCGTGGAAGCAGCTTTTGCCTCCATCCCTTGTCCCAGGCTTGGAAGATGAAGGAAGGAGGGACTGCATTTTTCCTGGGTAAGAATTGGATTATTCATCTTGCTGGATCAGACAAAAGGTCAGTCTCATGCCTCTGTCCTCCGCAAGTTTTGCCTAGTCCATTTTCATTCTGTCTTTCAGCAGTGACCATCACAGTCTTAGCGCCAGCATTTGCTGTCCACACTACGTCGACTACATCAAATTTACTTCATCTGTATGTCACCTTCCACACCCCTCCACTCACTGATAGACTTGGATATTGCGCAAATGCAGTCAGACTCATTAGCATACATCATACTTTTGAAAATGCACAAGTCCTTCCAAAATGCACTTTTCACGCATTAGCCTATGGGAGAAGTGTCCATTTTCAATTAGGATTTAAAAATATTTTCCCACATTTTTCTACGTATACATTTGTGTAACATTATAGAAAGTTTTTTAAAGTCTTCAGATCGGTGGAATCTGCACAACTCAGGAAAAGCCAGTCAGCTACAGAAGCCCTGGGTAAATCCACAGAGGTCCACACTCTTGGACTGCTCTGCGGATTCCTCTGACATTGATGTCCTCAGCCCACCAGAAGGACTTTGTGCAGCCTCCAAGCTTCGCAGGTGCTTTCGGGCAAGTGAGGAGGGTGCCTAGCCCATGCCACGCTCTCCCCAGGAAAGGCCCAACCTGCGGTACTCTGACCGATGAGTTAATAACACACCCTGTACTTTCTTTCTTCTGTCTCTTTGCCAGTCTAGTTCATTGGAATCTGAAGGGAAGGAGAAGCATCATCTTTGATCCCTTTTTGTCCATAAGAGTCAACACTTAATGGATAGCATTTCTCCCCCTGCAACCCTCCTTCCATCTTACCCATTTTCTCACTTCCCAATCTAAAATGCCTCAACCTCTGTAAATAAGATGGCTGCATTTAGGAATAGATATTATACCTGGCAGATGCTAATCTAATATTTCACCTCCTAAAATGCTGTAATACTAGCATCCTGGGGGATGAATTTATTTATTTCCCACATGTTTCTAGGTAGCTTACATAGTCCTCCTCATATTCTCCTGTTTATCCTCATAACAGCATCCCAGTGAGGTAGGTTAGCTGAGAGTCAGTGACTGGTCTAAAGTCATTCAATGCTTTCCATGGTCAGGTGGCAATTAGAACCTGATCTCCTGAGTCCCAGTCTAGCACTCTAACCACTACACCACACTGGCTCTTTGGGATCTTAGGACTACCCTAAATGTGAATCCCATTAATTGCAATAGAAGATGGAGTTTTTGCTTCCTCATTGATAGATTGATTTGATCAATTACATTTCTATATTTCCCAATGCCTGAAGCTCTCTCAGTGGTTCACAGAACAAGGCTAACTGTCCTAAAACATAGTCACTTAATAAAACATCATAGGACAACATCCAAGTGCATGAATTGCACATGTGTTGTACACATGACATTGTCTTTCCTTCTCTTGAAGACCTAGAGCCACTACAATAGGGGGCCAAAGCAGAGAAGGCTCTGTTGGAACATTTTGTACAGAAGAGGGAAATTTGGCCAGTGCAGCTTTTCTTAGTTTGGCAGAACCCGCTGTTATACCTGTAAAAATGTCCCACTTTGGACAACTACCAAAGGTATGGTGACAGCATCTCTCTTTTCTGCTTTGTTGGCCCAGCATAAAGTGCAGCAGGATGTGGTCAAGAAACCACGGGCAGATGTTGGCTGGCCCAGCTTCAGTTTGTGTCTCGACCGTGGACTTCTTTTTCTGGAAGCTGGCAGGAAATTCAGTGCAGATGGGGAGCGTCTATTTAGAATCCTCCCTTTGTCCATTCAGAGGTGCATGAGGAAGGGAGGTGGGAAAGGCCTCTCCCTCTGGCCCCCAGATATGGTCCTGCCTGTCATAGAATTCCCTACATGGCTGCACTGGAAAATGTGTACACTGAAAGAGAACCCGTTTTGGCTGCATCCCCCTCAGCCCTGTCCCATCTCCTAGCAACTGGCCCCTGTTTTCATCATCACTTTGCCCCTGTTTTATGGGGAGGATTTTGGAGAATTTTTTAATTAAGCAAGCCAGCAAACAAAAGACAAACCTGTCGTCCATGACTGGGTTCAATTGGCACAATCACCAGCAATCAGAAGTGAAGTAAGAGTGAAGTGTGAATTTTCTTTGGGTGCAGGGCTGTTTTTGAAATGTGATTATTGTGTTCTTTGAAACTAGCTGTGCAAACAAACCATGGTTTGTTAACCCAATTTACCATTCTCAATCGAGTAACAAACCATGATACTCAACCTGTACTCAGCATCAAGTGTGAGTTATCACGCTGTTTGAACCCAATCAGTGTGTGCATTTGTGCAGTACAGTGTACCACTTTCCAGTCCCACCTTTGCTGTCTTTACAAATAGTAAATGTTTGTGAACAAGCATTTGCCTTGACTTGCGAATTAATCTGAGTCCAGCGCTGCTTCCTCCCAAGGAAGTGTTGGTTTGGTTGCCACCCGAATGTATTTTGAATTGCTGCCGTGCATCTGTAAGCGCAAGCAGATCCACTCCCTCTGCAAGAATTTCTAAGTTTGTTCATTCAGAGAGAATGGTTACAGCCCTTTTCCTGACACAGCTGCCTCAGAAGCCGATCCGGTTGTCTGTAGCCGTCTGGCTGCTTTCAGCAGCAAGGCCGGCACCTGGGAGGCTCCCTGAGAAATGGAGAGGAAGCCTCATCTTGCTTGGGTACTCATGACCAACATGAGATATAAGTGATGTTCAGTGACCCCTCCCCGATGCCTCACCTCCCCCAAAGGAGGGTGCAGATTTGCATAAGGTTTGAACATGCTGAGTGTATATATTCATGCCCATTTAGATATACATTATAATTTAAACAGAAATGCATTCAGTTAATCTGAGTGAAGAAGACTGCAGCCAAAAGGACCTGTATGCCTGCACAGACTTGCGCTTGGGTTCAGGTGCTATCCATGAACAGGCAACGCGGAGGCTGTAGCTTTCCCGTTTTAGGCTCTTCATTGTTAAGCTGAACTGGGAGCCTGATGGCCCTTTGAAGAAAGGAGATCTTCAGACAGAGGACCCTCCGTCTTCTGTAAAGCAGGCAGCACAGCCACCCCAAGTGAGAATGAGCGCATATTTGTCAAGGAAATTGCCATTCCTGCAGTGTTGTTAACACCAGGTTGATGCTGCTAACAGCTGCCTTTCCGAGAATTTCCGGGCAGGATACAGGAAGCATCTCGAAGACTCTGTGTGCGCACTTTTAACATACATCACAATTTCTTCAAGAACAAAGGATAGTCACCAGGGTAAAATGAAAACATATTTTATGAACATGTGGTACGTCCATCAAATGGCCACAACTTGTATGTTCATGATGTGTGGCTTCTGGATGGCATTGCATGTGTATATTTCATATGCAAACTGTAAACAACGTATCCCACCATAATGCCATATTCATGTGTGACAAGCCTTTTCATTTTAATTTGCGCATAAAGAGTGTTGGTTAAAGAATGGTGACCTGATCTGAATTAAAGCTCTAGTGGTACACAGTTTATCAGGCAGAGAAAAGATGAAGCTGTGTTGGTGGCAGCCCACACTCCGGCTTGTTAAGCTGTGTGACCCCAACCTGTGTGTGTTTAGCCAAAGCTCGAAGTTGTGAGAATGGAGATTTAAGAAGTAGCCAAAGGTGCCCCTACTTTCCCCCCATGAAAAGATGGACAGAGTATTCTTCTGAGCAGGCCCTTAGTCTGCCAAGCCCCCAGTAAGGATGCAGAAACAATTATGTGTTCTTCATGGCTTCCTTCACATTTGCCAGCAGGAGCAGCGGCCTCCTGCCCTGACTTGGATCCGGAGCTGGATCGCTGGGATCCTGGGCATGACGAAGATAATCGGGTGAACGTCGGCCGAGGTCAAAAGCTCCTCTTATCTTCCTCTGCAACTGTGCATTCTATCCTCATCACAAATGGAGGTAACCTCACTTGGTTAAAAAAACTGTCCATGGCATTGTGGGCAGCACAGCTAAAATTATCTCTCCCCCACCCCACCCTCCAAACCTTGGAAAGTTATTGCTGATCTAAAGTGGAGAGTGCAGGGACACGCTGGCTGATGGCTTGATAAAACACTTGTTTGTTTAGACCAAGGTCCAATCTAGACAAGCAGATTCAAGTTGATCATTTCCTGAACTGTATCACTTCCACTTGTGAGTGTGGATGAAGTGTGTTGCTTCTTGCAATGTTCCCACCCTCCCACCAAAGGAAAAATGGAAAGAAATCTGCTACACATCTAGACAAAATAAATCCAGGCGAAACCAATCTCTGCTTGATTCCGCATGGATCAGCTCAGCTTCAGGTAGCATCAGGGTAGGTACTGGGTGGAGTGGGTGAGACTTGATCGGTGTTGTTGCATGCAGCTGAACTTGTTTTGTTGTCCTGGTTAGAAATTGCAAGGGCAAACCGACATGCCTGATGACTGTTTTTGCTTCCTGACTTCCTTTTTCAATGCCCTCCTAATCATTGACTGTGTGCATAATTACAAGATGGGCAAAGGCACAAGTAGCTATAAAAAGACACATCCCTGATGACTGGTAATTTTTTGTGGACAACAATTTTACTCTCCTGAGTTTTTTTCTCTGTAAGCACCTCTGCACAACAGCGGGGGCCATGGAGCATAGGTTGTGCCCTGTGCTGAAGAAGACTAGCAAACCTTAATACTAATCTGAGAGTCAGCTTGGTATTGTGGGCAGAATGTTGGAGTAGGACTCAGGAAATCTGGGTTCTGGTCCATGCTCAGCCATGAAGATCACTGGGTAACTTTGGGCCAACCTCAGAGAGTTGTTGCGAGCATAAAATGGAGGTGGGGGGGGCACCATGTAAGTTGCCTTGGGTTTGTCACATGAGAAGAAAGGTGGGATGTAAAGGCAAATAAAAATAGTTGTAACGCAATCTGGCTTAACGGCTCTTGGGCTGGACACACTCTGACCTTCTGGCTCCTTACAAACACTGTTTGAAGAGGTTTCCCATGGTGCAGTAATCTGCTTTTATTCTGCCTCTGTGCTGTTCAATAATGCTTGTGAGTGAGCCAGTTTAGGTGGCTTTCTTCTTGGGCTGCCTGGACTAACATTAGGTGTATGCAAGCTCAAGGCCAGGGATATTTGTATTTCATGTCAACAGCAAAATGCAGAATGGAGCATGTTGAGAATTTCAGCTTCTAACATATTTGTAAAGCAAATATCTAGTCCTTATGGCTAAGCTCTGACAAACATGTGGCCTATGGCTAACATTTCAGAGGAAAGGGGATGTTAAGTAATTTTCCCATGATCAGGGGTTACCTGTTCCTTCCTATGACAACTGGAAGAATATATATATATGTAGAATTCAGACTTTCTTTACATGGAATTGTGGTCAATATATTTAGCACAAAATGTACATAGCCCTGATTAACTGTCTGTCTGCACAAGGGTTTCAACCCTGAGGACCAGGATCTTAAGTTAAGAAGGAAGGATGGAAGGAAGGAACTTTCATGAAAATATCTATGCTAGGAAGCAGATTGCATATACATAAGGGTATATACAGTGTCTTGCTTTTGTTTCTGAAAATCTATAGAGAAAATCAGATGGAATAAGTAAAAACTAGAAGAATCCAAAACTAGACCTTAAACAATTAATAAAAAGATGATGTCTAAAGTGGGCCTATTAAAAAGTAGCACAGTCAGGCAACCCAAGTCTGCAATATTGTAGAAGGACACTCTTAAGTCTGTGGTAAGCTTTTTTAGATCAATCACACACGCCCTTCTCTTTTTCTGCTTTAGGAAAGCTGGTCATTAAAGACAACACAAGCCCAATTGTTCTGCGCACTCGTCACATTCAGATCGAAAATGACGGACAGCTCTACATTGGGAGTGAGAGCTGTCCTTTCCGAGGCAACCTGACCATCATCTTGTATGGACGGTATGTAATTAAGCAGTCATCCTCTTATAATTTTGAAGGGTAAATAGAGAGGAGGAGGAGGAAATGCTGTCTGGTTCCTTGCATGAGAAAAACTGGATGAACACTGAAAGATCAGTCAAATCTAAACTGGGACTCTGACCAATTGGCCCAGTGCAGGGGTAGGCAAAATTTTGGATCATCACAAAATTAAAATGTTTGGGAGTGCCCCTTCTTTCCAGATTTTCACTTTTCTTGCTGCCTGTATCTGCCCATTTCCTTAGGCAGGGATCCTTTCCCCCCGAGGTCAATGGAATCATCTCGACCTATGAATTTCGGATAAGGTGGGGAACAGGCCTCCTGCTCGCCAGTGGTCCTCACTGCACCCGAGTCCCTTGGAGGGAGGTGTCAGCAAGGCACCCTTCCCTCACCTGCATTAGAGCTGATGGAGCAGCATCACTCCATTGGCTGTAACAGAGGCGGGACTCTTGCCAGGCCCCGAGATGCCTGCAGGTGGTGAGCTGCTGGCCTGGCTAGTGTGTCTGGGGCAGAAAGTGCATCCCTGCAGTGCCATTTACATCAAGCTGAGCGACCCTTTCTGAGTGGAGGATCCTGAGGAGTCTGTGGCAGGACAAGAAGGCATTGACTGCCTCCTCTCTCTCGTGCCCCTGCCCCAGATGGCAAACTTTGTCTCCAAGAACAAAACATACATAGAATGCAACCACACTTAGGACTGCGGGGTTTTCATAACATTAACACAATTCTTATGCTCATGATTGTGACTTCTAGATGCTATTTCATGGGCACGTTTCATTTGCAAAGGTCAGATAACAGCCTGGCATAATACTTTGTTCGTGTGTGAACAACATTTGCATTTAACTTGTGGCTAAAGGATTTTGACTTCCTGGTGTTCTGATCTGGATGGAAGAGACATCTAGCTAAAAATGTTGGCTATGCTTCAAATTTCTCTCTCTCTCTTTAGCTCAAAGCCATTTTTGAGAGTTTATTGTATGCACGCACCTTTATCTTTGGGGTACCACTTTTACAGTGTTCAGTGTTGTTTTTTAACCAGTCTTTCCTCACTCACACTGCATCCATTGGTTATGCACACATGTTGCTGTTTTGCTCCTCGGCTGCTTTCTCTGCAGGAGCATGCAATGCAAATATTTCCTTGGTTGTGTGTGTGTGTGTGTTTGAATGGAAAATAACTGTTCAGTGCTGGAGTAGTGAATTCTTCAAAGAGACTATCAAATGCTGCATTGCCACTCGCCTTTTGGCCATGGACTAGCAAAATTGCCTCACTTGTTTGCTTTTAACCCCTGCAGTGCTGATGATGGCAGTGTACCAGATGATTACTTTGGGCAGAAGTATATTGGGGTCATCAATGGTGGAACCATGGAGATCCATGGGGAGCAAAAGCGAGCCTGGACTTTCCTGAACAAGACCCTGAACCCTGGGGGCTTGCAGGAAGGTGGCTACTACTTTGAACGAAGCTGGGGCCATCGTGGAATCATTGTCCATGTCATTAACCCAAAGACGGGAACTGTGGTCCATTCCGATAGGTGAGTCCAGGTTTCTTACTCTTTTGGATGCTGTCTGTATTTTAATTGACAGACGCTTTTGCGGGGGGGAACTGAGGGTCGCTGTAAATGGAATGAAAGTCTCGGTGCCTGTGCAGAGTTCGGAGGTTTTGGCCAGGGAATTAGTGCTCACCCCAGTCAGAAGCATTCCCCTAAGGGTCCGGTCTGAGTGCTGTCCCACTCTGCACTAGTGGTAGCTGAGGAGAACATCGCAAGAGCCCTGCGGGACCCCTCTCATCCGGCGTGCTGTGCACGCAGCAGCCGGCCAGCTGCTCATGGGAAACCACCAGCGAGGCAGGGAGTGCACTGGCGCCTCCCTGTCCATGTTCCCCAGCAAGTGGTACACACAGGCACACTGCCTCTGGGACGGGAGGTGGCAGGCCGGCATCAGGACTGGTAGCCACGGGAAGCCTTCTCCTCCAGGAATTTGTTCACCCCCCTTTTAAAGCTACCCAAATCGCCACACCTTGTGGAAGCAACTTCTGTAGTTTAACGCGATGCAGTTCTTTCTCCTCTGTTCTGAATCCCCTGGTAATGGGAACACTAATTAGTAATAAGCATCATTGGTGTAGATCTGTGTGGCTTTACTATAGGCACCTACAGGGCAGGGGAAGAACAGCCAGCAACTGCCCTGGCTCCCTCTCCCAGAAATTTATTCCCCAGAAAAGTTCTCTTGGCTGACTTTCTCCTGACCATCCAAAGGACTAGGGCTGACATTCCTGGAGGGACTGGTGGCTTTCATGTGCCACTACTTGCTTGGACTGTTGGTTTTATGTTCTTCCTCTGCCACTCTCTTTTTATTCCATGATGGTTCTGTCAAATCAACTGCTTTGCAAGTCCAGTTAGGCCTGTTTTAAGCGGACTGTCAAATCACGCCTGTGTGGGGTTGGGCCGGTCCTATATGAAGGGTGTGTCAATGCAAAAGCCAATGAAGCACCAAGCTGCAGAGCTGCAGAGGACAGGGGATGTGGGGCCATCCAGATGAGGCTGGACTGTGACTCCCAGCATCCCGCACTACTGGCTATGCTGGCTTGGCGTTATGGGGGTTGCCCTCCCGCTCATTGCACCAGGTTAGCCAAAGCTGCTCTGACCCACACTGGCTCTCATCCGGCATTGCAGGCAGAGAAGATCTGGTTCCCAGGTGCTCTCTGTGGCAGGATGAATCATCCCCACACCCTGCTTGGCTTCACAGAAATTGCAGCCTCACATACCTTCCGCTACTTTAGCCCAGGGAAGTGAGACCCCCTAGATGTGGCTAGACTGCAGCTCCCATCACTTCTCACCATTGCCTAGGCTGGCTTGGGCTGATGGGAGTTGTAGTCCATCAAAATCTGGAAGGGCATACATGCAATGGAAAGGAAATGCCATTGCAATGGGAACAGCATCATCTTTATAAAATCTCTCATTTCAGCCACTTGTCTAGGACTGGCTTAGCTGTGGGCTGTAGGTCCCCTTAGACCTGATTTCCAGCGGCACTTGTAGCCGCAAATGTGTTGTGATCTATGTTTCTTCTGCTTCTGCTGCTAATGTGCTCATCCTTCTTTCATGAGGTTTGACACCTACAAACTCAAAGGCGAAAGCATCCGTCTCGTCCAGTATTTGAATGCTGTTGATGACGGCATGATCCTGTCCATTGCAGTGAATGACGAAGGATCCAAGAACTTGGATGACTCAGCCAGGAAAGCAATGACCAGACTGGGCAGCAAGCATTTCCTCCACCTTGGCTTTAGGTAGGAGCCTGTTCTGCCAGGGCTACCAACACAGAGCCCTTATTGTATTCTTCCTGGATCTCAAGTCATTCCACATTTTCCCCCAACAGTGCAAATGTCTCCCACAGCAAGAAAGTTTCCTTTTTGCCACGTGGAATTTTCAGAAGCTAATTAGATGGTCCACAAAGGACCAACAGTCTGGCTGGGCATGTTTATTAGGAACTGTGAGTCTCTTTGGGGTTTTAGAACTCACTGTGGGAAACACCCGTAGCTTGATCCACAAGGTCTCTAATTCAGTCTCTGCCACCTCCAGGTAGGTCTGGGAAAGGCCGCTGGCCAAGCCCCTGGCATCACGGGCAGTCAGCACAGGCCTGTCTCCCTTAAGCTAGATTTCAACTTCCCGCATTCCAAACTCTTGGCCATGCTGGCAGGGTGGATGGCAGTTGAACTTGGAACCATCCAGATTGCCCCAGTTTGCGGATGGAAACAATACTGGGCAAATGGATCAATATCAATCTGCATCACTCAACTGCCTGTGTTTGGACAGGGGCTCAGCTTGTGCACCACCAACTATCTCTTGCTAAAACTAGTAGGGAGACTTGGCAAGTAAGCCCATGGCACCAACAGGGCAGGGGATGATGCTTCCTTGCTCCTGTAAAATCTCCCAGAGGTCTCTTCTCCTCTGAGTAGCTATGGTTATGCTCCAAGGATGGATGAATCTATCTGCTATTGTTTCACTTCTTTTTCCATTCTTAAATTTAGCCTGTCCCATTTCTGCATCATTTTGAGCTTGTTCAACTGTGCATGAAAAGTGTGCATTTTGTACCCATTTTCCAGCACACACAATTTTCTATGCAATTATGCCTAAAATATGAAGTCTTACTAGCAGTTTCACCTAATATGCACATATTGGTATGGATTTTTGATTGACTGGAGGATTCCAGCACAACAGTTGGAAAAGTGTGCATTTTAAAGAACTGAGCTTTGGTTCACATGTGAGTTCAAAGATGCAAAATGGAGTAAGTTTGTAGCATCGTCCAAACAAATTTCTCCCCTGTTTCTAGAGCAATTCTCTGCAAAGCTACAAAGTCACTGTGTAGGTAAGCTTTCTTTTCCAACACACAGGAATAGGATCACATTGCTGGAGAGTTTTCTTCCTATTGACTGTGGCTTACTTCTTTTTTCTCTCTCTTTTCGGCATTATTTGTATCTTTTATTCAAAAAGGGTTGCTATCATATTCATATCCACTTTGTTTCCACCAAACAGTTGTTACCAGATTTGCATTGATTTTTAACAGGTAGACACATGACAAGAAAAAAGACGCATTCTGAGCAACTGGCATGCCATTTCTTTCGGTCCACCTCGCAGACTTGGATGGATCATAGCTTTCCAGTTGCCATTTCCATTTGGCACTAAGGAACGTCCAGCAGAAGCACCTGCCCCCACCCTCTCTCTCACACTCCCCCACCCGCAGCGGTTCCACTAGTTGTAGCCCAGTGTTATGACACATCTACACATCTCTGCGCATTAGGTGGATTTCAAAAATTTTTAAAAGCAGAAATTATAACTGCTTATAACAGCTCCCAGATGTTGCATGACAATGCTGTCTAATACAGTAGGCCAGGCAGAAGGCAGATCTTATCAGATCTCTGGGCCATTTCTTATCATCTACCAGGATTTCTAACACACACACATCCCACGTTTTCTAGTAAGAGCAGCAGCAAAATAATGCCCTCTCCCCACTTCCAGAATTAAACTGCTGAAATGAAGGAGGCTTGGAGTAACCAGGAATGGAAGGCTGGTCAGTGCAGTCCAGTTCTGGTACTCAATAACAGCTCAGAATTCAAAAGTGTGCGTTTTCTATGTTTATTTTGTTGGATCTCAGGGTCCTAGTAATCAAAATAGGTATGGTCTGTTGACTTCGGCAAGTGATGAAATTAAGACAGAAGGCATGTTGTCACTGCCAAGCTGAATGACTAATTCATCTCTGTCTTTGAAGTGCAAATTATGCTTTCCTTCAACTCCTGCAGTGCAGCTCTCTCTCTGAGCATCTGCCCCATTCCTTACAGTTTCCACTTAACTGCTGATGAATCCAGCACATCTTGCAAGCCACCAAGCCGAATGCAGTCTACCAGCCACGTATTGCGGTCTGGCAGTCGCTGGACAAGTGCCTCTATTATTGCCATCTTAGAGAGGCAGCAAGAATGCATAATTAATCAAACCTTTAATTAATTAACCAAGAAGGCCATACCGCTCAGCTGATGGTGTGGGCTCACCTGGTGTGTTGGAAATATGGATGAATTAATCAATTTGTTTGCAATCCAAGGTGATTTTGCACGAATTCAGCCGTAATTCCAAGATTGTGGAATGTGCTCTCTGGAGAGGTATGCCTGGTGCCGAGTTTATATTCTTTTTGGCACCAGTTCAAAACCTTTTTATTTAATCACCATTTTAAAAATTAGTATTTTAACGCTTTAACAGTTGCTTTGATTTTGATTGTATGTAAATTTTTATTGTTACTGTGTTATTTATAGATGTGGTTTTATTATATTATATTTTATTTTAAGGACTGTGAGCCATCCTGAGATGCCATGCATAAGGGACGGCATACAAAAGGTTTAAATAAATAAAATAAATAAATACATTCTATACCATTTCCACGTTACTTTGTGATCTTAAAAAAGCGCATGACAATTCTCATTCAAATAAATATTTTAAAATGTATTTTCTGTCAAATGGTGCATTTTAGATTTATTTTGATTGGCAATGCAGCCAGAATTAGGTTGGTTCACGTTTTAATATGAATAGTCCCAATTTGCACTAGCTGGAATAATGCATGCAGCGGAACACATCTGTTGCTTTTTGCACTTCTTCCAATTGTGCAATGCGGCTGTCTGATCAAGCTGCACACACAAAAAGATGTGCATCAGGGACAGTCGTGCACAAAAAGGCATATATTGTGGTGCAGGGGAAGTGCTTATAAGGGTGCGTATATTAGGTGAAATTGCACACACATTTTTGTGTGGACTTTTCGAAAGAGCATTGTGAACAGATGTAGAAATGAACTTGCATTTTTTGGTTCTAATTGTTGTGAACAGCCCAGGGAGGTTTTAGTAGAGAAATGTAATAAATAAATAAACAAACTTGTGTTGTAGAGGGGAACAAATGAATTTGAAAGCAAAATAGATACATTTATCTAATTCCCATTTTAGTCAGTTTTTTTGAGCTGAAAAGCTTGTTAGACCATTCAGAAACTGTGAATTTCAGTGGAAACCTAACCTAACCTATTGTGAAGAACCTCTGATCTTCACATTAAACCAAGAGGTGCAAATAATACATGGCTTGATTGGAATGTGCAAAAAATGGAATTTCTCAGCATCACTAGGCAAAGTTGTTCTTGAGAGCCTGTTCATTTCGGCTTCAACAAGTTTCTTCTTCTGACCAAAGTTCCTTTTTCAGTGATAACTGTCTTGTGGCACTTTTAACAGATTTCTTACAGATAGATAAATCATTCATTCATCTATCAGGTGCATCTTTCATTGGCCTGACTTGCAAGGCCAGCCAGCCAGCACTCATCCTGGCCTTTGCTATACGTATGTGGAAGCTTTGCCAGTGTCCCCAGGAAGAGTCGAGTCTGTCATTTTTATTGTCGTTCTGGCAGCTTTCAACAACTGTGTTTTTAGCAGACTGGGGATAAGCCATTGGGAATCGCGTGCTCCATCAGCGAAGGAGGATCTGTTTGCTTTTAAACTTGCTTTTATGGGCATGGTAGAGCTGGCATGGAGAAAATGTAAGAGCTCTGTATTCCATGGACTTATGCTTAATTCTATAGTGATGTGCATACCTGTGCGCTCTTAAAGGCAGAAGAATTGGATGCATGTCGGGCAGGGGAGGAGAGTTAACAGCCTCAATGAGAAAGTTTTAGGGTCAGACTGCAAAGGCAGATGTAAGCACAGAAACCTGCTTTGTACCAGATCAGGCCCTGAATCCATTTCGTTCAGCACTGATGAGTGGTGACCTCATGCAGGGATGAAAAGTTTCTTCTGGATATCATGCAACCTTTAGCCTTTTAATTTTTAAATCAATGTTTTTAAATCCTGGATGGAGTTCTGCCTGCCCTACTGAATGTTCCACAATACAGTTCTCATTTTGTGTTGTTGCATGCTGTTGAGTCACAGGTGGGATACCAGCACCAGCAAGACAAGCTCCCCTGGCACAAGGTTTGCTCAGGCCTTGCTCTCCATGCAGCTCATTGCAGTCAGCATCCTCTGAGAACAGGGCCAGCCTGCCAGTATGGACGGAGTGACCGTCCTCTTCTGTTGGAGGGCTGAGTTGTGTGCCACACAGCCTTGCCTGCAATTCCTAAACTAGTTTTCTGCCCTTGGGGCCTGCGAGGATGCTCACTAGTGTTGGGGTAACATTCAACAGGGATCCAGTTGTCTCTTGTATGTCACATTATGGCGACTTCTTGTCCTTTGCCTTGCACAGAAACTTGTCTTGGTCCAGCCCTGTCTGGTAATGTTCATAGTACTCTCCACACCTGTCTGGCCCAAGAAAGCCGACAGCCATTAAAAACATGTATTACTCACCTGAGGCTGGGATAAACCAATAAACATAACTCCTGAACCTTCAGAATTCTGAGACAGCTGGCAAACATAGATTCATCTGAGATACATAAAAAAGAAAAATGTTTTGCCAGTTAATCAATAAAATGCAATCCATAATAAATCCTCACTAAGGTTCTCCTTCTATTGCATTATCTCTTTTTGCCAAATCTTGGTTCTTTTAAAGGTCATAGAACAGAGACAAAAGCCAAGTACATTTTCAGCTTCTTTGAAATATTTCTGTACAGCTCTGATTCTATCACCTAACCAGTTCTTTATGAGTCTGACTTCCAAACAGCTTTCTTTAGAAGAGCCCCACTGAAGTTTAACTACCTATCTGGGCCAGGTTTGAAAACTTCATACCTTTTTAAATGGCCCAGGTTTATGCCAATAAAGTGTTTGCAAGCCTGAATTCCTAGTTTAAGAGGGGATGGCAGTTTGTTATGTTATGAAGCTAAAGGGAATAAGTACATTAGGAATTTTGAATATCATTCTTAAGTGGGGGAAAAATGAGGTGAAAAGAGAGCATTACTTTTATATAAAGTGGAGTGCAATTTACTGAGTGTCTGTGAAAGGAAGGGGACACCTCCTAAATTCAAAGAGGGTGCCTGCATTTCGCGCAAAAGAATAAAACAATCTTGTTTCTTTGACTTTTCAGGCATCCCTGGAGCTTTATTACAATAAAAGGGAGCCCTTCTTCTTCTGTTGAAGACTACATAGAATATCAAGGTAATTATGAAAAAGTGGAAGCTTGCAAGTAAGGGGTCCAGATGAGGCATGGGTTCCAGAGGGGCTTCCATGCTGTATGTGCTGGTGCAGTTCAGATGTTACTTTAAAAAAACCAGCCTTCTCCAGCCTGGTACCCACCAGATGTTATGGACTTCAGGATACCATGTCCAGGATCCCACCATTGTCCATGCTGGCTGTGGCTGATGGAAGCTGAGGTCTAAAACATCTGGAGGCCACCAGACTGGAGAAGCCTAATCTGTGTTAGCTGTAGTTCCTTCCTTCACTATTAAGAGTGTTGTCTTTGCAAGACGGGGTCTTGAACTTAGACTGGGGAACAAAATTCAGCCCACCTAGGGTTCCGGGGCAGAGCAGTCCAGTTTTGCCAGACGGCCACACCTCCCTTCCCCAACTGCCAATCATGAAATTTTTACATGCTTCAAGGTTGAGTTAGAGGTAGTAAAGCCCTTAAACAAAAACTCGCTGCTATTTGGAGTGTTTTTTATATTGTGCTCCATCCATTTCAACTGTCACTAGAATGCAGTCCCCTAGAGCCTCTGCAGAATTAAATATGGCTCTCTGGAGGAAAGGCTCTCTTGTTGTGATACGGGTGTGCCTATACAAATAGCACATGCAGAAACAGGGAGTGACAGAAGGCAGTGCGTTAGTGCAGCATGCATTTCCTCCCCAGCAGGCAGTGCATGTTGTTCTGTATGCGAGCACACGCTCCACCCTCTGTACTATCCCACACACGAAGCTCCTTTGCAACCTCCTTCCTCGGAGCTGCCTACCTTTGATCTGCCAAACAGTTTTGCTTTGACCCCCTCCAGAAGGAAGCAGCATGTTGTTATGAGTCCTTCAGAGGTTTCCAAGAGTAAAACTCCACTGCATTTTGAATGCTAGGAAAGCACCCTCTTCCCTGAAACACGGAAGTTTTTGAGAAGGGAAAACTAATAAACATTGCAAACACTACATGACCATTTCATTATCCAAATAGATTTCTGGGATAGTGCTCCCTGTGCCCTTGCTGCTCTGTTCCTAGGAAACTCTCCATGGCTTGCAGGAGGATGCTGGGACATGTTCAGTAGTTAGAACACAAGGGGGGGGGTCCTCATTTCTTCCCCCGCACTCTTGGCTGATTTTGACTCCCGCTGGCACCAGAGGACCAAACTTCCCCTAATGGATATAGGGAATTGTGCCAAGTTCCAGCACTTGTGCTTGAAATTTCGCAGGTACTTACTAAATCTGTTCTAAATCCCCAATGGAAACACAAATGCTGAATTGAGGGCAGTGCTCCATTGCTCTCCCCAAGCTACTCGTAAGATCTTGGTCCTTTTGCAGGACGCAAAGGTTCAGCTGTGGCCAAAGTATTCAAGCTGTTCCAAGCAGAGGATGGAGAGCATTTTAACGTGTCTTCAACCAGTGAGTGGGTTCAAGGTAAGGCTTTTCCCTTTCTTTTTCTGGCTACTTTGAAAATGGAGAGCAAGTGCATGCAGCTAAGTAATGCAGCTGGAAATTTCTCCCACCCCATCTGCATTATAGGAACCATCATTCCTGTAGAGGAAAAATGGGAAAATGTGGGTCCTTTGGATGCTGTTGCATCACCACTCCCATAATCCTAGACCATTGGTCCTGATGGCTGGGGCAGATGGATGTTGGAGGGCCACAGTTTCTTCACCCCTGCTCTAGAGCAGGAGTGGGCAGAAGACAGTTTTCCAGATCTTTGGCACTTGACCTCCCCAAGACACCTGCCAGTGTGGTCAGTGGTCAGGAGAGCTGGGAACTACAGTTCCAAACAGCTGGAGAACTGCTTCCTGCCCAATCTACTCTGGAACATTTGGAAGCATCACTACTTGATAACATGGAGTTGGTACCTTCATACCAACATAAAAGCACCAATAACTACTACTACTGCTATTACATTGCATTTACAGTCTGCCCTTTTTCCTCTTATGAGAAACCTGAGGGAGTTTATATAGCTCTGTTTCAGGAAGGCTAGGCTGAGAGTCTGTGACTGCCCCAAACTCACCCAGTGTGTTTCCTGCCTGAATGGGAGCTGGAACCAGTCCTCCCAGGCGCCATTCCTACACTCCAACCACCAGGCCACACAGGGTATTAATCTAAGCATTTGCCAGAGAATGTGCCATCAAGCTCCATAACCAATCCCATGTGCAGTGCCTTTCTCCAACAAAATGACACAAAGGCAGCTCTTGTGATATATCCACAGTTTTTGTCACCTAGTTAGGAATTGGCCCTGCTAGTTCACACCTGTTTAGTCTGGATGGTTTTCTCTCATGGTGACCAGATGTCTCATGAAGTTGTGGCATAGGCTGCCATCTCCAAAGCTTGCCCCAGTAGCTAGACATTAGAGCTATATGCTTCATGAATTGCGGATTCCCTGTTCAGATATTGTGGGTACTTTAATGTCTGGGCCGCTGTGCACGAGCAGAAGGGCTCCTCCTCTGCAGTGAAGCTACAGCCAGAGAAGGCTTTCTGTGTGGGGAGGGCAGGGCACAGCTGACTTCCTCCTGCCCCTGCAGCTCCCAGCGCCACCGTCTACACTGCTTGGAATGCAGGGTGTCCAGCCTGTCCAGAGCAGAGTTTTGGGGAGCACGAGGGGCTGCACAGTCAAGAAGCCCACTGTAAGACTTGCCTCCTCACCACCTTAGTGTGTCCTAAGTACCAATAAGAGTGTCCCCAAAGCAAAACTCCACTTAGTGGGTGATCCAAACTGGTATCACATTCAAATTCCCCTCTTCTACATTGTTTAAACCTGAAACACAGAATTCTGTAGCTCGAGTTACTCATTATATGAAGTAACAGTGCTTCCTTTAGCTTATTGTAAATTTTCTGGCAATAATTTTCATCGGATGAGATAGCTCAGTGGTCAAGTATTTACTTGGAGTGCAAAATGTTTCTGGTTCAAACCCTGACAGTTCCAGCTGGGACTGAAAAAAGGCCCATCTAAAGCCTCAGAGAGCCAGTTCTAGCCAGAAGACTAGGTGTGAACTGAACTAGCAGGATCCTAGCTTAACTTCTCTCATGCAGGTTCCTGGCTCCAGCTTTCTCAGAGGGAGAGGGGCTACTTATTTTTACACCCACAATGTTCATCATTAATTAGTTTATAAACCCACTGGCATATCCACCTCTCCTGGTTATTCATACTAGAAAGTGGAAAAGAGTTTAGCTTCCCTTTGGGGAAAGCACTGGTCATTGTAGGTGTTGTCTTCTGCATCTTCTCCTTTGGACAGTACCTTGTTTGCACCAGTTACTTGTGGGCAGTCTAAATTTAGATTCACTGGAGAAGAAAATTGTGCTAAGGAAAGTTGAAGGCAAAAGAAGACGTGGAAGACCAAATGAGATGAATCAGTTCCAGAAAGGAAGCCATGCCCATGAGTTTACAAGGGTTGAGCAGGGCTGCCAAGCAGAACATTTTGGAGGGCACGGCCTTCATAGGGTCTCCGAGATGACTTGGCAGCACATAACAGCAGCAACAATAAGATCTTTTCCTCTGAACAACAATCTCTGGTAATGAACCCAACAGCTTGAGGATGAGCAAGACAGCCAATGGCTGGCTGGCTGGCTGGCTGCTCATCCCAACTGCCTCTTACTTGGTGGTGGATGTTGCTGAACTAAAACATATTAAATTCAGCTCTGCTGATCGCTATGTTATACTGCAACCTTCCCCTGCTTGGTGAACTGATAGACAAGACTTATAGACTACAACCCCTGCCGTCCACACTGAACATGTGCTGCAAATGATGGGAGTTGTGGTCCAGCACAGCTGGAGGGCAATGGGTTGGAGAAGGGCGGTGTGGATTCTATCTGTGTTGTGAGTCCAAACTGTGCTGCTTTAATGAAGCCGTGCTTCCCCCTCCTTCCTTCTCTCTGCTCCCCTCAACTTGCTTCAATTCACAACATCTCCAAATAGCAGCTGGCAGGCCCAGAGCAAGAGCCAGGAAATGCCTGGTTGCTGAAGAGGCAATGTTTGGCACCAAGATCTGTAGAGTACATTTTTGCTGTGTTGGTTAAGGCTGTTCTGTCCAAAGTGGCCTTTTTCTTTTACTGACTGCTTCTTTCCCCTGCCCAGATGTTGAATGGACTAAATGGCTTGAGAAGCCTGAAAAGGCCAAGTCCAAAGATGGGGAGAGACTTTCAGACTTCCGAGCTGCTCATCCAGAAGTCTGTGATCACCCCATTGACATCCAGGTAGGACATCCTGCCAAGGTTCCTGGGCTCCCAGATCTCCACATCTGCTTCCCTTGACTGCACTTCCCTTCCAGTTGGCACCCTTTCTGTTCCAATAATGGTTATTTAAGCTGATAGCTGGGGGATGAAAATGCAAACGGCTCATTATGTCACTGGGTTTTTTGCAAGGCCTGATCCACTTAGATTGGTGTAATAGAAACATTTCCCAAATGGGATCATTGCGAGCCAACTTGGAGGCAGATGAGACAGAGTAGCAGAGTGCTTTTCATTCCAGATCTGATTCTGCCACTTCCTCTTCTTCATTTATTGACCACATTAATAGCCCACTTGTTTTCCTTCTGTGGGGAGCCCAGGGTGGATTACCTGGACCACCTCCCCTCAGACCCTGTGGTACACTTAGGCTGGGATCAGTGGCTGGCCCAAGGGGCACCTAATGAGTTTCATGGCCAAGAGGGGACTAGAACCCAGGGCTTCCAAGTCCCTGTCCACCACTGTAACAACTACACCACACTGCTCTCAAGGCCAGTTCACGTGCCCGCTCAGCCTAGTGGGCTGTATGAATGTATCATAATGTGTGACATGAACCTTTCATGCAAAGGACTTTAATCAATATTTATGGCATCTTTTACATTCCTTTTTCAGAGGAGAAGAAACTTGGGGTCATATTTACATGCACACAGGTCTTTTGCAGGGGGTGCTTGTAGTCTTGTTATCAAATCAGGGGGCAGTACATGAAAACAAGTTAAATTTTAAAAAACAATAGAAGCAACAGGGAACATCTACCAAGCTAGACACTAAAATCAGCAAATGCCTGGATATAGAGATAGATTTTCAACAGGGACCGTCAAGAGGGCACCTGTAGTAGAAGAAAATTCCAAAGCTGCAGGACTGCAACATCAAAAAAGACCCCTCCCCTGATTGCCGTCAGATGTACAGGTGACAGGACGACCAGGGCCCTTGGTCTGTGGCTGATACAGAAGAAGGCACATGTGAGGTCTGTTGCAGCCAAGGACCTCAACCCACCACCAAGCACCTGGTCCTTTTAAACAGAGATGCTAGCAAGTGAACCAATAAGCTATCATGATATATGGACATAAACATTGCAAAGTGTTCAGAGCATGCCACATACAGTTCTGCAATCTCTGCAACAGTTCTGTAAGGTAGGGCAACATTAACCCCAAATAACAGCTGGGAGGGTGAGGTCGGAAGAGGCATTTAAGCTTTTCTGAAATGAGGAAAGGGCTGTGCAAAAGCTGGGTAACCTTTCAACAATTAGTCTTTGGAAGAAATGGGGCCCTGGGGGGCTGGATTGGGACCCCAGGAAGGCCAGATGTGGGCCATGAGCCAGGTATTTTGGCCTGGCATTCTGCACACCAGGTCTGATTCCAGACTTTATGGAATGGAACTCCTGTGCTGACTATGGAAGATGGGAACTGCTGGAGCAAGAGTGCAGTGTGCTATGCTCTTGTTTAAGATACTGCTCTGAAAATATGGACTCATTCCCAGGACGTCAGCAGTTGTAAAACGAGTACAGGCATGAAACAAAAAGAGATGTTTTATGGAGCTCTGGCCAAAGTGCCATGAAAGGACAGCCTTGAGCTAGATCCACCTTCTCCAACCTGGCACTCTCCAGATGAGTTGAATTATGCATCCCAGCACCCCGTGGCCAGTCATGTTGCCCTGCAGCTCAATACATCTGAAGGCTGATTTGGGTCTTTGGGCAGCATGAGCCAAGCAACTTTCGAAAGCATTTTTGTGTACCCAGTTTGCAATCGGTGGAGCTGGATTCTGCCTCTTCTCATATATCCTTTAAATGCAGAGTTTCTTGTGGAAGTGAGACATCTGCTTTCTTCATCTCACAGGTCTTCCTGTGCATCCGATTTTACACACACGTGTGCTTGCTTATTACCCAGTTTGCATTTCTTTTCTCATCCCAGGCAGTGACACTTGCTGGAGCTAAGCTGACAACTGAGGTTCTCTACAAAAGTGGCCATGATTATAGGTTTTTTTGCCGTGGCCTAGAACAGGCTGATAGTGGCTGCCGTAACTACAGAGTGCGCTTCTTATGTGGCAAACCTGGTATGTGACTTATTTTTGAAAACTGGGGCACTGCGCGATTGAGAGATGGAAATCTGTTCTGAAGTTTGCTTCTACTGACCTATTTATTGTAAAGGACACAAGGATTTTACTTCAGAGTTATAAATACCTCTGTAATGGAGGGCTTTGTGTGAGTCTGAAACATATTTAATTGTACGGTGTGTGTCTCTCATCCAAAGCCTTTCTATTTCTGCTCATGATCTTCCACTATTCATGCCAAGTTACTCATCCTTCACAGATATCTCTGAGCAGTTCAGTCATGGAGCATATAGCAGGTTATCCAATGCCAAAGAGATGGAGGAAGAGAGTTCAGTGGGGTAGCGCCACACACGCAAGAGAAGGAGGTGGTCCAGTCCTGAAGTGGTTGGACTGTCACAATTTGTTTTAATGAGGAGCAGACATAACTCCTTGAAGGTAGAAAACTAGCCCAACAAGGAGAGGGTTAGATTGGATGTATTTGGTTTCTAATTGCCTGAGGGGTTTTTATCTCCTTTTGGTTTTTTCCCCTTTTATGTAGTGAACACTCAGAAATGAGGTTTCCCACAGTCTGAAGTGATATGATCAATTTTCTCAGCATTCTTCCAAAAATTGCATGTGTTCAATGGGGGTAGGGGTGCTCTTACATTAAAGAGAAGCTACTGGCCAGCCTTCTGGGGGAAGGGGGAGCTTGGAGTCCTGCACTGAGCAGGGGATCGGACCTGACGGCCCCCTGGCCCCTTCCAGCGCTACGATTCTATGATTCTAAACTTTATTGTGCAATCAACTCTCCTCATTGCTGACATTTCTCAATGGGTTCAGACTGCAGCACCTTCCTTTGGTAATTCCCCTGTGTTTCCCACCCCACTTCTCCCCATGCCACACAGAAATCTGTGAAGGACAAGAAAGTGGGCAGGCAAGCCACCCACCATTTTAGGTTGGTCTTGCAAGCAGCTGTCCATTGGGCAGTGCCCAGGACTTGTCCTGAGGCTACCCCTGGGATCACAGTCAATGCGTCTCTGTATCCTATTTTGGGGGGATCATAATGAAAGAAAGCTGTTCTCCTCCTGCCCTGCTTCGGTGCTTCCCAGAAGCATCAGGTTAGCCACTGGCTACCTGCCTAGGTGTGACTTTGGTCAGATTTAGTAGTTATCTATTTGTTTATACTCCAGCTTTCCTCCAAGAATGACGCTCAGCAGGCCTAACAGTGATATGATCAAGAGGAAACTTAATTAAGACTGAGCGAAATCAATTAAAAGACCCACGCAATAAAATAGCACCAGGCCCAGTAGAACCTCCTTCAGCAACAGATCAGCTTACATGCCACAGCCTGCCTGAAGAACGACGCCTCGGCCTGCAGGCAGAAGGACTACAACGGAAGGGCCAACCCTCGGCCGGCAGTGGGCCCCCTCTCCTGCCCCCACTGGACAGGCCTCCCACAGGAGGCTGCGAGGAGGGCTCAGGACCCAGAGAGCCTTGTCTGGGAGGGCTCAGACTGAGCCGAAGAGCGCACCAGCTGGAATGGAGTGGCCTGGTGCAACTGCCTCAGCCAGGCTGGGCTGAAATGTTTGCCAGGGCACACAGAGCCCCCTCCCCTTCCGCAAGCCTTTCCAGAAGCAGAAGGGTTGTTTCGCTGAGAAAATGTTCCATGACCACCTGCACTGGGGCGGGGGGAGGGGGCTGCTAGGAAGGTCATTCCCTTTGCAGCAAGCCAGTGATGAGATGCGCTTCTTTGCTTTGGGGAGGTGAAGGCGGGCCATTTGGCTGATCCGTGTGGAAAGCTGTCATTATGCTCCAGCAGCAACTGCAAATGACAAGTCCAAGTGACCATAAAAGCCAGGACAAAGGGTGTGGTGCAGCCAAGCCTTTAAGAGGCTGCATTTTCAATTCAGTGGAGGGTTTAATGGAAACACACACTTGCCCGTAAATAATGAATGGGGCCTATTTTGCCCTGCTGGTTTAATTTCATGAACCAAAACAGCCAGATCCAGCAACATGGTTGGAACAGCAATCCCATGGTACTTTTGTTGATGTGAAACATGCCCTATAAAGCAGCAGTGGGCAGAAAGTAGATCTTCACATGTTCTGAACTTCAAGTCCCAGCATTCCTGTTCCTAGCTTGTGCTTGGCAGGGGCTTCTGGTAGCTGAGGTCCATAAATGTCAAGAGCTACCTTTTGCCCACCTTGCTGTGAAGTTATATCAGGGTTGAACAACTTGTGGCTCTCCACATGTTTTGCCAATCCCTTTTATCAGCCCTAAGCAACCCAGCCAATGGCAACAGAGGGTGGGAGTTATAAGTCAAAACATCTGGAGGACTGCAAGTTGCCCACCCTGGCGTTAAGTGGGCAAGTTGTGAGTAAGCTTGGCAAATGCTCTCCTAGCTCCCCACAAACCATTATTTCTTCTTGGTTGGTTTTTCAGTGAGACCCAAGCTTACAGTAACAGTTGACACCAATGTGAACAGCACCATCATGAGGTTGGCGGATGATGTGCGGTCATGGAAGGCTGGAGATAAGATTGTGGTGGCGAGTACAGATTACTCCATGTATCAGGCTGAAGAATTCCAGATCTTGCCATGCAGAGCCTGTGGACCCAACGAAATCAAAGTGGCAGGTAGGACTCCATCTCTGGGATTCGTGCTTTTGCTGTTAAAGTAGCTTCATGGGTGTGGATAAGAGCCCAGGTGATGCGTGGCTGTTTGGGACCAGTGTTGTTACATAATGAACCTCTTGTTTAAAAACCAAATGGGTCTTTTAAAGTGCTAATAGGTCTTTTAACTCTGTGTCTTAAAGGATTGGTGGGGGTGGGAAAGAGGTGAGATGTTGGGTTGAAAAAGATAAGCAAAGGGGCAGGGGCTTGGAAAAAGCAAAAAAAGCGGGAAAAGTAAAATGTGGGACATCATGTATTATAGCTTCCATATAGCCTAAAGTGCCTGATCCTGCCTAATCATGGAAGCTAAGCAGGGTTGGGCCTGGTTAGAATCTAGATGGAAGATTTGAATCCTGCATTGAGCAGGAGGTTGGACCTGATGGCCTGCTAGGCCCCTTCCAACTGTATGTTCCTATGATATGGTATGTTGTCTGAACCCAGCTTTGCTAACAAACCATGGATAAACCATGGTGGCTGTTCATGGTTAACAAGCCATGAATTGTTAGCACAGCTGAGTTTAGAGAACATGATATCCCACATTGCAGCAATAACTCACAATTCAAGGACAACATATCCTCAGTCCTTGAATGTGGGTTCTTGGCTTGTCTGAGCCCAACCACTGAGTAGTGTAACCTTACAAAAAAGCCCACAGAAGTTACTAGACTGCAAACAGCAGTTATTAGGCTGTGGAGAGCCACCACCAAGTTACTAACCTTTTAACAGGCAGTTTAAAAAATAAAGGCTTTATAACAAGCAGATTGGTGGGAGAGGGTAGAACTAATCCTCTGCGGGCCTACTGCATTTCTAAGACGAATATGAAAGAAGAGGGTCTGCACAGCTAGGGCAGAAGCTCCACGGGCTGGTCATGGAAGGACGGAGCGATCACCCAGCCATTTTGCTTGTCTGCCTGGTCTCCTTGAGTGACCAAGCAAGTGGGATGTACATTATTTATTTAAAGCATTTTTACTCCATGACCAACTTCTGGAAGTCTGGAGACCAATTCCCTCCCACCCCTGAACTCACCAGGAGCTGCATGCCATCAAGGAAGGGAATGCTGATTTTCCTAAAACAAGACACATAGGAATGTATGCTCTGTTTTAAAGTAAAATCATCCCCCAGTCGGAGTTGTAGCTTCTTGGCTCATTGTTGAGTGAGCTGTAAGAAGTTAGCACTTGGTGCCAAGAACAATATCACGCTGGTTCTAAATGCATCATAGTCTCATGACTAAAGATGTCTGGTGGCACTCTCTGTGGGAAAACCTATCTGCACAGTTGTTGTTTGGTGTTTCCCACCCCGGCCCTTTCCCCAGAAACACTTGGATGCCTGGAAAAACCACATTAAACATTTGCGACCCAAGTTGCATCAAGAGTGCAATCTTGGGAGACAGTCAAGGACAATAAAGCTGTAACTGAATGTACGCTCTGGATGCCTCTGAAAGTGGCAGCGTGAGAAAGGCACAAGGGAGAAGCAGCCAAAGGTGGGTAAAGAAGCACCTTTCCCCTCGTGGGAGAAGCAACAGCTAGGCTGTAACAATGGAAGTAGGCAAAGTAACTTTGGCCTCAGTAATGGGATAGACGGAAAGTTCCTCCTGCTTCTAATCCAGTGGAAACCGAAAAGGAGGGCAGCATCTCTGGGATTCCTTAGAGCAGTGGTGACGAACCTATGGCACGCGTGCCGCAGCGGGCATGCAGAGCCCTCTGTGTCGGCACGTGAGCCAAGTCGCCCCAGCAGCGCCCCGGCAGCCGAGCATCAGATAACAGCGCACATAGGGGCCATGCGCAAGCTCGGAAAGGAGTAGTGGCACCAGGTGATGATGTCACAAGCCATGACTCATTAGCCGCAACTCGTTCAAGCTTTCGCATGGCTGGTCAGTGTGCTGCCAAGGATAGATAGATAGATATAGACATAGATATAGATATAGATATATTTGCTTGGACTGACTGTGAGGTATTTTTTCTAAACTAAAACCTCAGTTTTCAGGTTTTATTGCAGTGTTGGCACTTTGTGATAAATAAGTGGGTTTGGGGTTGAAGTTTGGGCACTCGGTCCCTAAAAGGTTTGCCATCACTGCCTTAGAGTGTTGACAAGCGTGACTCAGATATCATTTAGGGCAGGAGAGTTTGGCTTTTTCAGTTTGAAGGCCCAATTCCATTTAGGGAGACTTTCAGAAGGTGCATCCCAGTGGTGGGCAGGACGAAAGGCAAATGCTAAGGAACTGAAGTACCAAAGAGACAGCATAGCCTCCACCTATTGACAGCAAATCAATAGGTGAGATTTTCCCCCATCAGTGCATCTCCACACAGGGAAAAAATGTACCTGTGGGATTTATTTCTGTCATGCCAATATTAAAAGGCAGAGGAACTCTGTTAAAAAATACAGGCAACCCCAGTTCAATGCAGAAATGGTTGCACCCAATAGCTAGATGCCAGACTGCTTCAAATCTCTGAATACAGCGTAGCTAAAAATGGTTAAGCTATAATACTGTGGGTTTTTCATAACACCTCTCATGACCAAGCACAAATCTAATTATAATCCATGTCCTCATCTTTAAGTAATATTTTCATATGCTCGGCATAGGATAGTTGGCAGGATGAGTTGAGCTATTGCAGATACTTCCTGCTAATAAATTATGTTTGCTTTATAAACAGAATTTCAGAGCAACAGTTGGGAACTGGGCAGCTAGCTACTGGTTTTCAGTAGGAATGCCAAGCTCAGCTGAGCTCAGCAAAAACCACTCCTGCTTTCCGTATCTGTCTCCCCCCCACGCACCACCTACCTTTAGTGAACTAATGGAAGGCCCCTTGCTTGGTGATGCGGCACATACGCTGCAGGGGGAGCTGGGCCTCATCACGGGCATCTCCAGCTTGGAACAGGGAGGGCTTTGGAGGGCCCTTGCACAGGGCCCTGCAAGGCAGCCCCCTCGCTCAGCGAGTTCCCCTTCCCACGGCCATGGTTCCCAGCTGCTGGTCCTCTTCCTCAGCTTTGCTGCAGCAGGCGTGCTTGACCAGCAGAGAGCCAGCGAGCAAGACAGGCCTGGCGCTTGCTGCTCCTCCTCCTCACCACTGTCCGGGCCGGAGGGAAAGGCAGTGACCAAGCAGGGTGCAATTCTGAGGAGAGGGGCAAATCCAGGAGCCTTTCATTAGTGGAGCCCTGCTGGGGTGCCCACCCCGTGCCCTGGAGGTGCCCAGTCATGTCTCCCCTTGATGCTGGCTCAGAAAAGTCTCCCCAGTCGGGATGGTGCATTGCAGCTTTCCATCCTTTGGCCGTCAGCTTTGGGGTTTGTGCCTACAATCGAGATACCCCTTTCTCGTGGGAAGGAACTCATCTGGACTGTCTAGAAATGGCAGGTGTCCAGAGCAAAGGAGAAAAAAGGCTACAGGGAGGCAGGAAGGGTGGAACAAAGTAGAAAGAAACATCAAAGAGGCAACAGCAAAAGTTATCTCCACCCTTATCTGTAGCTCTGTACATGAAGCTCCTTTAAATCCTGATAAGTTTTAGAAACTGGCTGACATGATGCAATCCCCCTTTAATGCCCCCGATAAAAACATGAATAAATTGGCATGCATCGCTGTCCAGACCACCCCACCCTTTGGTGGATGGGTGGATGGAGGCAGACTTTAACTGATCTGGACAAAGCTGATTATCTGCAGACTTCTCCAGAAGTTCACATTTAATTCATGAGGAAAGTTCTTTGTACTGGAATATTTCTTAGATAAGATGGTAGGGCTGATTTCTTGGGGACTGCCCATCTCTGCTTTTTCTTTTTTCTTCCTTAACTAATGATGCTAAATTTTGCTCTGGATTGCCTCTCGAATGCCAGTATGCAGAATCCAGCCTTTCCCAGCCTGGTGGTCTTGGAATGTGTTGGACTGCAGCTTCAGTAAGCACTGACCAGGTGGCCATTCTCCATGCTGGCCGAGACAAATGGAGTTGTAGTCAAGCGTGGATAGAGAGTGCCTGGCCCCGTAGTGAGAGAGGCTGAGCATTGCCCTTGGTAGCAGGTAGCCCAGGGTCAGCAGGGCTGGGATTCTGGAGGAGGAGAAGGGGACCTCAAGCCAGGCATATAGGAGCGTTGGGAGAACAGGCGGAGGAACCGGCCTGGGAAGCATCCCCGGGTCGCTGCCCACAGGTTCCCAGGCCAACCGGGAGAGTGAGTGTGTCTTGGAATGGGAGGGGTCGAAGGGTAGGAGGAGGAAGAGCTGTTGGCTTGACTAGTCCCCGGCCCTGTGACAAGCTGTTTCGAGAGACAAGCTTCCCAGTTAGAGGGCTGGCACAGGTCCCATTATCTGGCCCTTCACTTGCGGGAGCCACCCTGAGGGGAAGCTGCTGAAAGAGAACACTTTTGGGATTCAGCTATCACTCTTGGCATGTACAGAGGCTTGATTGCTTGCTTACTTACTAGAAGGCTTTTAGTGTTACTCTGACTTGTCGTTGTGGAGTGCCGATAAAGATCCACTTTGCAAAGAGACTTTGCAATATTTTGGAGCCTCTGGGCAAGAAGGGGCGAGCTGGGCTTATGGCAGGTCCTTACACACGGGATTATTATGCATGGTGATCTGCATATGTTAATGTCTAACAAGACTGCATAAAACACCCTTCTGCCGATTCAGACCTTCGGCCCGTCTGGCTCATGAGCTTCACATGGATTCAATGTTTTCTACACAGAGATAGAAATGGCTCTTTCTAGTCCTATCTGTGCATGCTGGACCAGGGGCTTGACTGGGAGGGTGCATTCATGCGCAGCAGGCAGCGTCACCCCTGGAACGGGAGCCCCCAGCATCACCCCTGCCCTAGCCCATCCTAAAGCAGGTGGGTTTCAAAAATGCACCTCCCACGGGGACCAGTGGGAATGTCTTCTGCACCTGTGGACGGTCGCACCGCTTGAGGGCTGGGCTAACCTAGTGGTAGGCAGCCTGCTGCTTCCAGATGTTTTGGCCATGACTCCCAGTAACCCAGCCGGCATG